GATTAGGCTGAAGCGCGCAGCCCCCTAGGTCCCCGGGGGGAAAATTTTTTTCCCCGAAAAATTGCTTTATTTTCACTTTTTCCGTGCCCTACGGTGTTTATTACAGATAACTTTTAAAAATCTGTTTTCCCCATCCATATGAGAGCGGACCCCTTTCTTCCCCTTCGGGGGGAATTATCGATAAAATTTTTTTTTCCTTTCGGGGATCATTTTTATGCTTATTTTTTTTTTTTAAAGGTGTATTTTTTGTTTATTGCTTTATTAATTGCTTTATGTCATAATACACAATTGTGTAGATAAATAACCCTTTATTAAATTTTTAGCGTGGGAAATGGATATTTTGGGGGCGGGAGGTGTCGGCATTTTTTGCACTATTCCCAGGGGTTCCCAATTGGGTTTCCCTTTGCCATATTATCTCCGCCCATTGGCTTGTCTCAGATGGTAAATTTTTTTATTTTGACAAAAAGAATAAGAAAAGGATAAAATAACACGGGGGGGAAAAAACATAAACAATGCCGGTCAGCGCTTGTTACGCAATGTGGGGGCAAGGCGCTGTCCCCATGCTGTTATAAATGGTGTAAACCTTTTAAAAACTCGTACAAGGATAATAATTATACAAGAGTTAGCCAGAAAGTTCACTATTTTTTGGTAACAACTAAATTTTTATTTTTTGAGTGTTTTTTTTCCATGCCCCGGGGCCCCCTTGCCCCCCTTTAAACTGAAAAAACCTACTTATTTGTTTGGTAGCGGCAGGTGTTGTGCAACTTAAAATTAGATCGACACACTAAATTGCCGACAAATGAGGGAAAAAATTCCTTTGGGCCCTATACCTTCGACAACAACCTAAATTTCAGCCCCCCATACCCAACACATAAACAAAAAAGTACCCAAAATGGTGGGGTCTCTCCCGAACGGAAATACATGCCGCAAAAGCCCTTCTTCACTATCCATTCACTTAATTCCTACCTCACCTTGTATCTGTGCTTGGGGGGTTCAAGAGCAAACTCTTTCAGCCAATAATAACCCCAAAAAAAAGCCGAGTAAGAATACCTAAATCCCCCTCCTGGCAACACCCCCCCCCCCACTCTTCATAGTCTTAATTTTTCCCTGTTTGAAAAAATCCAACTTATTTTCGTGGGGTCTGTTTACGGGGGCCTTTTAAAAACCCAAAATTTTCCTTTCCTAAAAACCCTTTTTTCAAGTTGTGACCGGATCCACGGCAAAAAACCAGACACAAAAATCTCTATGACATTCCCGTGTTTCCGATTAAAACCTTTACAAAAATTTTATGTATTTCAAAGGATAAAATTGGAACCCATCCTAAAATTTAGAACTGCGACACATTATACTTTCAAAACTACAGTTAAAAAACTCTTATCTCCTTGTACACCCCGACAACAATAATTATAAAACACCCCGGTGGGTTCAAATTCACTCACTCACCCACTGACTTTAAAACAGAAATCTAAACTTAATTTAAAATATTTTAAAACTAATTGTCTAATTTGCCCCTTTATCTCCAATTAGACACTTTGTTTGTGCCCCAAAAAAAAAAGCATTAATTGCTAAAATAACAAAAATTTGATGTAGTCACTTAGCCTTAATACCTAATCTGTAAAAATTTAATGTTAAATTTAAACTAAGTTGCCCCGAAATGCCTACCATGCTAGGTGTCGTAGTGGCCCCCCTGTAATTAGTATTTTATAAATGTAAACCCCCAATACCCCAAAACCCGTAAACCCAAAAAATTTTAAAACCCTTTTAGAGAATAAAATTGAAATTGAAAAAATTTAATTTCGTTGTTATAAACATCCCCCGGTATCAAATAACTCAAAACGTACGAAAATATCTCGTATACAGAAAATATTCGTAAAAATTTTGTTAAAAAAAAAATTTAAAAAAAGAATTTAATTTTATAATAAGAGTAGTAAAAAAACGTTGTGGAGGCAGAATAAGTGTGTGGGGGTAAGATAAGTTTGATTTCGTTTGGATTTTTTAACCCGGAGGGTCAGCCACCGGTAACCAAAAAACGTCAGTGCGTATCGAGGACTGTAACTTATTTCCATTGGGGTCCTTAATCTTGTCCCCCAGGATGCGACCCACACCAGTCGACTAACACCCAGGTACCTATTAGCTGCTAGGTGAACAGGACAACAGGTGTAAGGAAACGTGTCGAAATGTTTCCACCCGCCGGGAATCGAACCCGGGCCCTCCGTGTGTGAAGCGGAAGCTTTAGCCACCAGGCCACAAGCCACCAGGCCTGGTGGACATAACAGTGTGTGGAGGTAGACATAACAGTGTGTGGAGGTAGACATAACAGTGTGGAGGTAGACATAACAGTGAGTGGAGGCAGACATAACAGTGTGGAGGCAGACAACAGTGTGTGGAGGTAGACATAACAGTGTGTGGAGGTAGACATAACAGTGTGTGGAGGCAGACATAACAGTGTGTATGGAGGTAAACAACAGTGTGCGGAGGCAGACATAACAGTGTGTGTGGAGGTAGCCATAACAGTGTGGAGACAGACATAACAGTGTGTGGAGGTAGACATAACAGTGTGTGGAGGTAGACATAACAGTGTGTGGAGGTAGACATAACAGTGTGTGGAGGTAGACATAACAGTGTGTGGAGGTAGACATAACAGTGTGTGGAGGTAGACAAAAACAGTGTGTGGAGGTAGACATAACAGTGTGTGGAGGTAGACATAACAGTGTGGAGGTAGACATAACAGTGTGTGGAGGTAGACATAACAGTGTGTGGAGGTAGACACAACAGTGTGTGGAGGCAGACATAACAGTGTGTGGAGGCAGACATAACAGTGTGTGGAGGCAGACATAACAGTGTGTGGAGGTAGACATAACAGTGTGGAGGCAGACATAACAGTGTGTGGAGGCAGACATAACAGTGTATGGAGGCAAACATAACAGTGTGTGGAGGCAAACATAACAGTGTGTGGAGGCAAACATAACAGTGTGTGGAGGCAGACATAAGTGTGGAGGTAGACATAAGTGTGGATGTAGACATAAGTGTGTGGATGTAGACATAACAGTGTGGAGGCAGACATAACAGTGTGTGGAGGCAGACATAACAGTGTGTGGAGGCAAACATAACAGTGTGTGGAGGCAGACATAAGTGTGGAGGTAGACATAAGTGTGGATGTAGACATAAGTGTGTGGATGTAGACATAACAGTGTGGAGGCAGACATAACAGTGTGTGGAGGCAGACATAACAGTGTGTGGAGGCAGACATAACAGTGTGTGGAGGTAGACATAACAGTGTGTGGAGGTAGACATAACAGTGTGGAGGCAGACATAACAGTGTGTGGAGGCAGACATAAGTGTGGAGGTAGACATAAGTGTGCAGGCAGACATAACAGTGTGTGGAGGCAGACATAACAGTGTGTGGAGGCAGACATAAGTGTGGAGGTAGACATAACAGTGTGGAGGTAGACATAACAGTGTGGATGTAGACATAAGTGTGTGGATGTAGACATAACAGTGTGTGGAGGTAGACATAACAGTGTGTGGAGGTAGACATAACAGTGTGGAGGCAGACATAACAGTGTGTGGAGGCAGACATAACAGTGTGTGGAGGTTGACATAACAGTGTGTGGAGGTAGACATAACAGTGTGGAGGTAGACATAACAGTGTGTGGAGGCAAACATAACAGTGTGTGGAGGTTGACATAACAGTGTGGATGTAGACATAACAGTGTGTGGAGGTAGACATAACAGTGTGTGGAGGTAGACATAACAGTGTGTGGAGGTAGACATAAACAGTGTGTGGAGGCAGACATAACAGTGTGTGGAGGCAGACATAACAGTGTGTGGAGGTAGACGTAACAGTGTGGAGGTAGACATAACAGTGTGTGGAGGCAGACATAACAGTGTGTGGAGGTAGACATAACAGTGTGTGGAGGCAGACATAACAGTGTGTGGAGGCAGACATAACAGTGTGTGGAGGTAGACGTAACAGTGTGTGGAGGTAGACATAACAGTGTGTGGAGGTAGACATAACAGTGTGTGGAGGCAGACATAACAGTGTGGAGGCAGACATAACAGTGTGTGGAGGCAGACATAACAGTGTGTGGAGGTAGACGTAACAGTGTGTGGAGGTAGACATAACAGTGTGTGGGGCAAACATAACAGTGTGGAGGTAGACATAACAGTGTGGAGGTAGACATAAGTGTGGAGGTAGACATAACAGTGTGTGGAGGTAGACATAACAGTGTGGAGGTAGACATAACAGTGTGGAGGTAGACATAAGTGTGTGGAGGTAGACATAAGTGTGTGGAGGTAGACATAAGTGTGTGGAGGTAGACATAAGTGTGTGGAGGTAGACATAAGTGTGTGGAGGTAGACATAAGTGTGTGGAGGTAGACATAAGTGTGTGGAGGTAGACATAACAGTGTGTGGAGGTAGACATAACAGTGTGTGGAGGTAGACATAAGTGTGGAGGTAGACATAAGTGTGTGGAGGTAGACATAACAGTGTGTGGAGGTAGACATAAGTGTGTGGAGGTAGACATAACAGTGTGTGGAGGTAGACATAAGTGTGTGGAGGTAGACATAAGTGTGTGGAGGTAGACATAAGTGTGTGGAGGTAGACATAACAGTGTGGAGGTAGACATAAGTGTGGAGGTAGACATAAGTGTGTGGAGGTAGACATAACAGTGTGTGGAGGTAGACATAACAGTGTGTGGAGGTAGACATAAGTGTGGAGGTAGACATAAGTGTGTGGAGGTAGACATAAGTGTGTGGAGGTAGACATAAGTGTGTGGAGGTAGACATAAGTGTGTGGAGGTAGACATAACAGTGTGGAGGTAGACATAAGTGTGGAGGTAGACATAAGTGTGTGGAGGTAGACATAACAGTGTGTGGAGGTAGACATAACAGTGTGTGGAGGTAGACATAAGTGTGTGGAGGTAGACATAAGTGTGGAGGTAGACATAAGTGTGTGGAGGTAGACAACAGTGTGGAGGCAGACATAAGACATATCACCTGTGTCTCCTGTCTCCATTATTATGGCTGAAAGTGTTAAGTAGGAGCCACAAGTTGAGTGTTAACAATCACCTCCAACTTGAATGACAGCCACAACAACCAATCAGAGGCGAGAACAAGTTGAAGCTAACTTGTAGCGGCCAATGAGAGACTACCATTGGCAGGCACCCTAAGTATAACACAATACCTTAATATAAAGGACGCCAGTGGAAATAAGTCACTTGGTCTGACTAGTACGTAAGTTTATTCAGTTATATACAAATACAGTTACATAGATTATCATACATAGCAGCATATGTGTAGAGAACCCAAAAAAAGTCAAAGTGACTTATTTCCATTTGGGTTATTCTAGGTTCCTTAGACATATGCTGCTATGTATGATAATCTATGTAACCGTATTTGTGTATACCTGAATAAACTTACTTATAAACACCATCACTGTCATGAAGTTATTATTATTATTATTAATGATTAGCCGGTATTCTCCCGGCCCGGGCCTTTTCCAAGTGGTGGTCCGGCCTTGGCCGGGCCACCTAAGTCTTCCATGGGAGGAGGCACAAGTATCTCCTCATCTTTGGGACAAACTGTCCCCAGGCCTAGCCACAAGCTAGGCCTCTCTGGTCTGCCATCCCCGCCCCAAGGGGGCTAATGGGAATGACAGTCTTATGAGCTAAAGGCTCGGGCTCAGGCACCTACCCTACCCTAGAAGGGTTAGGCATGGTATCGATGTCATGAAGTTCATTAACTTTCTAACTTGTTCAGCTATAAAAACTTTGGGGTCCAGTCCCTGGACCCATTATGTAAATCTGTAACATTTTGGCTACCACCCACAGGATGGGTATCAGGTGCATAATAAATATATTAAACTAATTAAATGTTATCATCCTCTTTTTCTACTTTTATTCTCTGAAGTTAGATACACCTGTCCTGTGAGACTACTATCGTACACACCAGGATGGTGTCTCCTGCCAAGCTTCCATTATTCAAATTCAAATTCAAATTCAAATTTTATTCTCTATAAGGATTTTTTTTTTTATATTTTATTTAAAACATTACAATACAAGGTGGAAATTATATTAAAAGGTACACATAATGAGTTAAATCACAAATTCCCAATTCACCCTTACAAAAATGATTACAACAGACGAAGTGTTCTGACACCCTAATACCACACACCACATACACCCAGTTATACCAGTCATATACCTGTGAAGACTGAAAGTTTTACCACAATTTCACCCCCCCCCCTCCCGCAAAATATAACCATCACCAACCTGACTGCATCTTAACTTAACATTAAAGGATACATAGGAATTACACTATCATGAGTGATACAGTAACATCTTAGACACAAAATATTAATAACAATGAAATGGGATACATGTCATTACTTAACACAATGACACCTCAACCTGGTGAAAGAAAACCCAAAAAGCTTAATTTTCTGAGAAGGTTGCAATATTGAATGTTAACTCTCAAAGGCAACTTATGTGCAGTCTTAGCATGTAAACCCTATTCATGCAACATAGTATATAAATAAGACTGTATATTATAAAAACCATCACAGAATACAAAGGTTATAAAGTATAACCCCAGCCATTGTAGCGGCTACACACAAAAAATCCACATACTTCCCTAACACAGACAAAACAATAACAAAATTTTTGTGACAACTGCACTAAAACACAACTCACATCATATGAACTTAAGATATGCTATGTACATAGATAACAAATAAATAATATGACTTAAGACTGCTATGTACATAGATAAAATTAATAATATGACTTAAGGGACTGCTTATGTACCTAGATAACTTATAATATGGACTTAAGACTGCTATGTACATAGATAACATAATAATTATGGACTTAAGGACTGCTATGTACATAGATAACATTATAATAAATCTAATTTGGAATGGATACACAGTTTGATCCATTCCAGCCTTAACATATTCAGGCGTTAGAGGAATAATTCTTCATAGTACAAGTCCAACTTGGCATTCGTAGATCCCATCTCGCTAAATTCACAATAATATTGCGAATTATTACATTAATACTATACACCACTGGACAAGCAATGTCCATCACTTCCAATCATTATGGCTGCCATTACCCCTCGCTATGCACAGTGATGTAGGCAAGATAAAAAAAACCCCCCCCCCCCTTGTATACCTTATTCCATCATCACTACTACCTTGAAAGAACAGGAGTACTATATGAATAGTGTATAGTCACATGTCAAAAAAAAAAAAAATTGGCCAGCTCGCCTCAGTTGCCAGCACCCGTGGTTCACATATTCACTCCACGCATCATTCATCCAACACTCACGCAAACATTTGTTGTCAATTCCATTACCCAGGGGGCGACCCTGTTTTCACCCATGACTTCCTCCCCAAGCAACACTTTCCAATCGTACCCTCCCCTCCCTCGTATTTACAAGTCTAATAAAACTGTAATGTTAAGTCGCCTATAATCCCTCTGAAATTATCCTTCATCCCAACCTCCTCCCATATATTTTCCTTTTTTCTGACATACGTTTTATCAGAACAAAACGTTACGCTAAACACCTCCTCGTTCATCTCAGTTATCATGTTTTCCCCCGCTATCCAACTCACTATATAGATATAATCTGCCATAATGTAATCCCACAGCTCTGATTTACACTTTTCCCAACCCCCCACGTCGAGACTTAATGCTTCAATACAGTAATTCCTTTACCTTCCTATCTATCTTATCACCCTACTTAACCACCCCTTGACACTCCTCATTCCATCTCAAAATTATACTACATGGAAAAAATCGGACATCTCCCCACCAACTTATCCCACACTCCCCCGTCAACCGACGCGTCTATCCCGTTATGGAACCTACACCCGACGGTAAATTTTAAAATGCCCCCGTGCAGAAAACGATCATGACACCCGAAACCAGAGGTTGCAAACCTCATCCTACTCAAACTTATTCCATTTACTTCCCATGCATACATGGGGAAATTCCCTCTACAGGCGCTACAAACCCTCCCGGCTAACAATCTACACAACCTACCTATTTTAACCTTTGCTGGCTCTCGATCACCACGCCAGAGCCCTCAACACAGGTTTTCACACTCATGCAACTTCAAACTCCTGTATAAATCCGTTGCAATCTGTTTTGGGATTTGGCCAAACCCCCCCCCACCCACACTTTCCCTCATCACCTCCCTTTAATGAAGACACAATTTGACCCTTCCCCGTTCAAGGGTCCAGCAATTCCCAGCCCCCCCTTACTTTACAGGGTAACATTAACACATCCCTTTTAATCCAATACAAGCTCGAAAACCCCAGAAGAATTAAAAACCTTCCTAACGTATGTTCGTTATTGGCTGGACCCCCAGTTAATGGGATACCACGGCTGCCACGTGGGCCATTACTTTAGTATACAGTAAGATTTTATAGCAATGGCACGCTTTGCACTAGGGTCAAATGATTAAGGTCGGCAATGCACCCCAATGGTCCCTGAATCTTTTTCTACCATCTAATCGAGTTTTTTTTTTCCGTGCGTTGCCACAGTTGTTAGATCGTTCTGCCTATTAAAATACAGGACCGCAAAATTTTTAACGGAATTCCCTGCCTCCCACAACTTGCACTTCACCCAATTCAAACCCTACGGCTCCCAAGCCCCTAACCCCATAAAACCATGGATTTTAATCTGAATTTTACCCTCATACCAGTTGCCCCTGCGAAAACATTTTTACTTACCCCGTCCTTTATTGTGTCCATTGAACATCCCCTCCCTGAACAGAACAGTTGTTATCATACAACCCAATTAAAATTGGCCCAAACCTCGACCATAAAATCATCACACCCTGGTCCCTCTAACGTGACACATACGCTGCTCCCTCCAATCTATTAAAGGGGGTTCCTGTATGCACGCAAACAATAACTTGTGACTATTGGACACCCCTGCCTAATTACCATACCCATTACAATCTTCTCACCCAATCGACCATTAATCTGTACCTCGCTATTGCACCTTCCATACAAACGCCCTCAACCCACTTATTCATCCCCAAAAACCCATGCCCCCTGAGGAATGGGCTTTTAATGCTTTCCTATCCACTCTATCGTATTGAGCCCTTGCCAATCTGCGCCACCAATCCTCCCTCCTCCCCCCCCCTGTTGGCCTCCACGAAATCCCTAAGTAACCCTGCCCCTCCACCATGGACCTCCCTGGCAAACCAAACTGAGTTTTTGATACTACCCGCCCCACCACACACTTGACCCGATTTCCCAAAATCTTACGCAAAACAATTTATAATCTGCGCATAACAACGAGATCGGCCCGGTAATCCGAAGGGTTGCTGGCCCTTACCTTTCGGTTCCCAATAAACGACAGCCGTGCATGCTTCTCAACCAGCTCACCTCTCTCCTTCATGCACAAATTTAATAACCTAACCAAAAAAACGCCTCAATTAATTCCCAATGCTGCTGTATTATACTCTGCCGGGAAGTCCATCAATTCCCGGTGCTTTGCCTTTCGCATTTCCACTTAAAAGCCCTCCATTATTTCTCCCTCAAGTGATTTCCCACCCGTGTTCCCTATCACTGTTACGCAACTGACATAACCAACACTCCCACACACCTGTTCTAAAACCCATCCTCACCCCTTCTTGTTGCCAGTACTACTCATACAGCTTGTCAGCCAAATCGCCACCATTCCTTTCCGTAGCTTGTATGACCTGCCCCTCCCTGTACCTCCTATCGACTCTGAACCTCCAAAACCATGGAATAGTCATGGCTGCTGTCTTTGTTTCTTGCCTCGCAATACGCTCGATGAAGGTCTATCGCCCCATAAACAACTCCTTCCACCCCCGCCCTGTACCCGCACCTGTTGGAACCTCTCAGCCTGTACCTCGCAGTCTCCCTTTAATTGCCATAATATCATCCATGGATAATTGGCCCGCCACCGCCCCCCCTCGACCATAGCAACCCGGTATCTATCCTCCAATAGTTTAGCATGCCCTATTTAAAG